ACTACTACTACTACTATGACGACGACAATTACTACTAAGTTAATAAGTAATATATGTGTAGCAGCTTCTTCGCTTTTCTTTCCCCAAATATATGGACTGAGCCATTGAATCGTGGAAGTCTTCGGTTGCACAGTTCGTGGCAGTACTCCCATCTTCCGGTCGTTTGCAGCATAACGTTGAATATGATGAAGCTGGTCTATGGTTATTGCGCAAGATGCTCACTGCACATGTCATACAGTAAGTCGATGGATGGATGGATGGATGGATGGATGGATGGATGGATGGATGGATGGATGGATGGATGGATGGGTAGGCAGCGGGCACGTAGATAAACACAGAAACGGAGGTTGTCATAGATATAGACAGATATAGACATAGAGATACTTTCATAGATCGTTTCTGGGAATCGACACTACTGGTTCACCATCACCGCTATTCTTGTTTATTACATATATTTAAGAAAAGGCCACGAAAGCTGGGGCAAAAAAAAGAAACAAAGGCGACAGAGCTCGGGCAGCGTGGGTGCAAGCCCTTGTGTTTTGCCATGCACCTTCTTATCCGCAAGATGACAGCGTTCTTCTGCTTTACAATGGCCCAGACACAGAGACACCCTTGTCGTATCGTAGTACCTTGACCGACTTCATTGTGCCCGGAATGTCCCTGCGCAAACAATAACTCGGTCATGTACGAGCAGCTTCGAATTGTCCTGGTGGCAGCTTAGCTAACTGCCGAGGCATCAGAACTTGCTACATAGACGCACTCCGCCACGTGAAGACAAAATGGCAAGTTGCCATGTTGTTTCAACAGAACTGTCCCGGTGGCACCTTTGCTCATTACTGAAGCATCAGACTTGAAACCTGCTACGTAGACGCACTCCGCCGCGCAAAGACAAAATGCAAGTTGCCATGTTGCTTGATCTGATGGACCTGAAGGGGGGGGAAGGGGGTTGGGGGCTCCCCCCTTGCCTGACCTTGTACAAAATGCTGCTACCGGTGGGAGGGGCCGCTTTCCCCTTCCGAGCTCTGAATCAATGCCCCCCGATCACCCCCTGCTAACCATTAACCAAGGACCGGATAAGGTCCTAGACGCGTTTTTGACCTAGTTCCTTGCTACCTAGGTGAATCGTAATTAAACGACAACTCCTGCAAGCTCCACAGAGCTAGCTTTCGTGAAAACCGTGGCACTGCATTGCCAACAGCCTGTCTTCTGCAAAGGATACGATTGCAGTTTGGGCTTCATAGCCAAAATAACTGCCCGCGGCAAAGTGTGCCACCAAGTAACTCTTGCGCCGGATACGTCTGGCGATGGTCAGCTTCTCCGTTGGCTGCGATCGCAGTGCCCCATCCACCAGAAGGCTGCGAATGGTCTCGAGCTTGCGACAGGCCCTGCCACTCTCTCGAAAGGAAGTGCAAAAAAACAGACGGAGATGGCCTGGCCAGCCCAGCAACGGCGAAAGACGTGAACACCCTGCCTTTGGATGGAAGGAGATACCCTGGTGTTTCCAAGGCTGATCTTGGCACCTGCCGAAAAAAGACCGGCCAGCTCAAAATTCGAGGAGAAGCTGGGGCCTTGGAGAGGTGACGGGAGCCGCTGCATCAAAAGCATGGCGGCCGCATCATCGACCTGCGTATCGGAGAGGTCCACGCGGAGGACCTGGCATCGTCTCAGGCCGAGGCCGCAACCATTCAACCATTCAAAGCTGCTCCTCCGCACCTTGAGCATGCGGGGTAACTTGTGCGCCAACCATTTCACCGCATCGTAGTTGATGCGGTCGCCTTTGCTGCGGTGCGGAGAGCGGAGCGATGCGGAGCGGAGAGCGGATGCGGAGAGCGGATGCTGCGGCTCGGGAGCAGCTGCTGAAGTTCAAGGACAGCATGGACATCTCCGGAGGGAGTCCCAGGACCTGAGAAGTCGGCAAGGCAAGGCCTGCACTTTCCCCAAACCACGTTCTGTCTTTGGCCTGCATTCAAGGAATGCGGAATGAAAGGTTCAGGATGGTTCATGTTGGTCGTCAGTGAGACAATCTGGTTACTTCGGCTTGTACCTGACAAGACTTTTAAGATTTGGTGTCCTCCGGTGTTGCCTCAGCATGCTGGGAACAGTTCCGAAAGATTCATGTTGATAGTGCCGGAGCAGTCTTCCTTTGCTTCCGTTCGACATGGCCGCCAACAGGGGAGGGGTGATTTGATTGGAAGATTTTTGGTTGCGCATGCTCTTTTCCGAAATTGCTTGCAAAGGCCCCGGCAATTAACTAAGCTTCTGCAGTTACGAAAACAAGACGTCGTCGCTCACTCTGCCACGGTTCCGATACTGTTCCGATAATCACAGCACCACAGTGTAGTTCTGAAACTAAGTCTGCCGCCAGCGAGTGAACTCCAAGCGTGGTAAAGTAAGGACATCCCCTGAGGGTCGGTCAGACTGAATCAGACTGATTTGCCGTGAAGCAGACTGAATAGCATCCAACGACTCCGTCTTCAGCAGTCAGCACCGCAGCAAAAAGAACGGAAGCAAACGATTCTGCATAACTCTAACAAAACCCCGTGTCATTCATACACTAATCCTGAACTAGTTGTTTATCGCCTTACTCGTGGCCGAAGTTTCTCGGCGCATCTTTCGCGAGCCTCCCTGCCCTGCCTCGACGTGGCATATGCGTGCCGCCGCAAAGGCCTATGATTGCTTATTGCCCTTATTGCTAACATCCTAATACCAGAACATCCATGCCCACACTCTTTATGACGTCCAAGCGCACGTTCCCGAAGCAGCTGCTCAAGGCAGCAGAGGCAACACAAGTGGGGCATGTTGCCTGGTGCTGACTCGCGCTTCGTTCTTCTGCATTCTAATTCTCGTGATCAGCCCTCGTCTGCATACCTCCACGACCTCTGCGGCAGACTCTCCCTCTAGACATCCTTCCGGTGCCAGCCTCAGCGAGAGGTGCAAGTTGATCAGCCGCGCTGGGAGACACTCGGAGATCGCACTCACTTGCCGGTCATCGATGTTGTCGATGCCTAGCAGCTGGCATGCTGGCAACACAAAACCTCATACAGGTCAGTAGTCCGTGGACCTTGGACCTGTTACCTCTTGCGATCCTGAACAGCTCGGTTCTGTCGGACCTCCCTCGAGTTTTCGGCCTCCGAAGTCGAGGCCAAGGACGCGGAGGTTTTTCAGATTGGCGATTCCTTTGGCCAAAATCTGGACATTGCGGATGTGGGAACGCTCGAAATTCCTTGGACAGCGAGGCTGGCCAGCTTGTACTAAGGCCAGTGTTCCTCCTTGCATGACAGGAGGGCTAGTTCAGATTTTGTGCCTGGCTGCAGGATTAAAGAAACGATGGTTGCTGGCAGGCAGAGACCCAGTGCGTCGACACCTGCTTGAAATGGGCAGGACCACAACAGCAAGGTCTGAAGAGAATCTTCCACTGCCAGCCTGTCTGACCGATCCTTGCGCACATCTGAAAGTCCAGCGTGAGCGTTTCCAACTGTTTCAAAGCCGGCAAGATCTTGGAAAAAGCGCGCAGGCCGGGAGATCCGATCCCTGTACACATCCTCGGAGCCGACGCTGAGCAGAAGCGGGCAGAAGCGGCGGAAGCGGGAGATCGCTTGTGGGGCTCCAGGGCGCTAGGGTTATGCTTGGGAACAGGGCTCGCGGAGGCCAGGCTGAGGATGGCTCAGGCCACCAAGTCACCAGAAGGAGAGTTCCAGATGGCGGAGATGGCTCGGCAGCGAGGCCGCCAGGATCGCCAAGTCGCGATCCTCAAACCTTGCACCAGGAATCTCAAAGGTCTAGAAAGGCGCCTCTCGTCCGCATCCTGGCCAAGCTGCCCGGAGCAGTGAGCGAAGTTCTTCATGAGTGAGGTGCGACTCTCATCTCCGATCAACGCTCGTGCCAAGGGCTTCGAGTCCATCTGCGACTGGACAGCCTCCCACGGTCGCTGTTCTGATGCGGAACTACCGGACTTACCGGACCAGGCCACACCTGAAACCAAGCCGTCAAAGCCAGCTCCGCCCGCAGTCTTGCATTGAACTTTCGGAACTCCTCCTGTGCTCTCGCAGTTTCAACAGCAGATTGCAGTGTTTACACTCCTCTTGAAGGTCTCGCGACACGAAGCCGCCCCCTTTGCCTGGAAATGTCGCGTGTCACCCGGCTCCAAGACATAGTCAGGTGGATGGCCTGAAAGGGAACCACAAGAAGCCTTCTGCAATCCCTATTGCGGGCCTGCATCCTTCCCCAATCTGCCTGCGATGGACTTCAGGATTCTCTCGTGATCGGCCTTCGGCCGAGTACAGGCCCACCACGTAGAACGAAGCAACAGCACCCTCGCACCAGAGAAGCCTCGCGCGACGTCTGGGCTGCCTGGATGTCAAGCTGGAGGCCAGATGCCAAAACCTGCCATTCGGGAACACACCACGCAAACGGAACACTGGCTGGTTTTCAAGCTGGCAACACAAGATGAAAGCGCTTTCAGTCGTTGCAGTTCAAAACGAGCACAGTGCCTCAATGGGAAATGTCGTCTCCCGCAATCGGGTGCTCCTGGCTTGGGATCGCGGAGTCTTCTTTTCCATTTGCCCAACCTTCAGAAGCTCGGCTGGACAGGATCACTCATCATCACTCCTCTGACAAGGCCTGATCAAGGATGCTCTCCACAAGCACTGATGGGCCGTTTGGCGTCATAGCCGCATAGTCAATAACTTTTTTCAGCTCAATGGCTTTGGACACCTCGGACTTGCAGCTTGAAAGCCTTTCTGCGATCTCACCACCCGGGGCGCCTCGAAAAGGCACCAGGCCCGAGAGAAGAACTGACCGGAACCACATAAGGGTTCCTCAGTCGCAAGAAGACTGAAAGCTATGTGCGAGTGCTGCTTCAGAGCAGCACGCCACGTGGAAAAAGGTGTTTGTGCCAAGTTGGTGCACCTATATCCATCCAGTCAAGACACGGCCTCTCCGGTGATCATCAGCAGTATGTGATCAGCCCGTGTGAGAGGTCTCATGAAGCCTCGGCAAAGACAGTGAGAGAGAGAGAAACAAAAACAGCAAAAGGAATTTTTATGCCTGGAACCATCGCTGTTGTGAAGTGACAGTAAAGGTCATCTCCAGCCGAGTTTGACTCTTCTAAGCTGCGGCTGAATCTGGACCCAGCTGCTGGATTCCACATCCACTGAAAGCCGTCGCTCAAGAGAATGCTGCCTCTCCACGATGTGCATGACGCAGCAACTACTTAACTTGACGGGCCAGATGCGGAAAGAGCCGCCACGGACCACGTTTTTCCAGGCCGCTCATCAAGAAAACAGAAACCGCAGTGGTGTCCTGGCCTTTCTGCAAACGCACAAATCCACATGAAGGAGTCCTCCAACACACCAACGATGAAGCAATACTCAAACATTTGGCCGAATGAATTAGTTCTCCTCAATGCTTTCAAGTGCACGTGGGGTTTCAGCGACTGGTTGCATGTGCGCAGGCTTCTGATTCTGTGATTGGGGGACGGTAGCCAGGCAGGTGATGATCAGCAAGGCGATGCGCTTTAGCTAATCACCGTTCGGAATGACAGCCATAATTTAGTCTGGTCCTTTTTGAGTTCTTTGGCACGGCGGTAGCATCCCAGGCAGTCCGTAAAGTCGCGAAGCAGCTCACCCCACCAGTGACCTAAACGCAGAAGCTTTGGAGGCTAGACAGAATTTTTCCGCTGCGCTGCCTCCGAATACTGAGCTGCACACTTACGAAAACCAGCGGACTCTGCTTCTTGTCGCTGACCAACTCAACAGCCGAACAATCCTGCTCCTTTCGTGCTATGCAGTGGTTGCACCAGAGCGCCGCAGATTCTGACGGGGCTTGCACTTCGGAGCTTTCCACAAATGCATCCGTGGTGTCCTCCGTCGCTGGCAACAGCAGGAAGTCGTTCAAGTGGAAGAAGTTCCTTGCAGGTCCGCATGCTGCAGGAACTTGGCGCAGAACAGTGCGCTTCTCGGAACGGTTCAATGAACAGTAACGAAAAGAATGGTTCCGGCCGTGCATCAGCACGCTGGCAGACAGCTTTGGCTGGTCGCCCAGCGCCCAGGTATTACAATTGGATGCGGCGAACACCACAAACCTGGAAAGCTGCGGATGCGATACCACGCCTCCAGCAAAATGACTGCTACGTCTTGCGTGCTCGGCCTCTGCAACTGCTCCATGCTGATGGCGCGGCAGTCGATTCCATCTATGAAACCGCGGAATGGAAATGCTTTGCACGCGCTCGCCTGGCATCGAGTACAGGATTGTTGTGGCCTCTTACAGAGAGAAATTGAGTGAGAGTGAGAGTGAGAGTGAGAGTGAGAGTGAGAGTGAGAGAGTGAGAGAGAGAGAGAGACAGAGAGGGAGAGAGAGTGAGAGTGAGAGTGAGAAAGCGCGAGTCACAGAGACACAGAGAGTGAGAGAGAAAGATCAGAAAGAAAAACATGGTCAGCCTTCTGGCTATCGGATTGTCCAGGATGATCGCTGACGGGATGCGGCGAGGAACCATGCATGTCATCGCTTGCCATGCGATTTGAACAGGGTTGGGGGCAGATTGGACCTGGCGGTTGTTGGTCGTTGGGGCTGTCCGTGACATCCTGTGTCCATACTACTTTGCTGACGTGGACTCCACAGCTGTCAGTCAGCCGACACGAGCCGAATCGAGCCGAGGCAGTGCAGGCGGTGGTCTAATGAATCTTCGATCGTACCAACCGCAGTCGCAAGCAGCTCGCATGTCCGTCGATCTGCTTGCACACGTCCATGGCACCATGCAGTTCAGTAGATTCCTATGTAAGGCAAGTGCTCTCGTCCACGGTCGGAAGCTGGTCCATAACGTGTGGTGGCGTTCGTCACCTCCGGCCCAGACTCAGAGCGTCCGAGTCCGACCGAAGAGCTTCCTACCTCTGCATCACGTCTCGTCGTAGAGCATGACAGGGCCCATGTACATGTTTGCTGGAATTTATAATCTTTTGCCATCTGCCATTCGCATGGTTTGTGATGCTGAAACTTGGTAGAGGTACTTGTCCTTTTGCATGTTGTGAAGCCGGCGGTGGTGTTGACCTTCGGTTCCGTGTTGATGAATATGACATGTGCTGAAGCTGATTCGAGCGGCAAACACGCACAGGCGCAGAATTCAGTCGCAACGTAACACGATGTAACATGATGTAACACGCCACTGCCATATATCATCCGCACTAGAGTCGTCGTCAAAAAGGAAACCCTAATCAAACCTGCAACTCTTCAGCAACCCTGAGGCCTGAAGCAGAGTTCGGAATCGCAGTGAGATATATTTCATAAATCGGCTAATACATTGGACTTCCTCTTAAAACCTCATGCTGCCCTCTACAGACCGGCTTTGTTGAATAGCCTCGTCTCATCAAAGGTATTAAGATAATTGTTGCATGTCGCTGCTCGGCGTGGCTGCCGCAGTACGCGCACGACTTTCCCCCGTCTGTTGTTTACGCCGTTCTGCACTCCGTCCACCCTAAATCTATACCGCCAACCGGCCTGTAAATCGACGTCGTTTCAATCCACCTCAAGGGCTCTACGATGAGACTGTCTTGCGAGACTGTCAGCCAAGGCGACCTGATATATGGACTCCCTTGCTCCCTCGCTTCCTTCCTCTCTGTGGAGGTGGAGGTTGAGGTTTGAGGGTACGGCATTGCTTCACAAAAACACACTCAACAAAAACAAATAGAAAACAAGGTGCCGCGATGTGGCTCCTGCAGTCGAAAGCTCGCTCGGTTTGGCTGGCAGGCTAACAATAGATGGACGCGCCGAAACTTACGACAGGTTTTTGCTGCTACAGTTAGCTAGTCCGCATGCTGCTGCGGCAAGGACAATGGCTCCAGCACCACTACGGTCGCAAAACAACCAACACTTCGGGTTATGAGATCAACTTTGAGCCAGCGGGCTGGTAACAGACAGAGAAACAAACCGAGCCTTTTCCACACTTTGCGGTGCAACAGACGAGCAGCGCAGAAGGCGCTCAAAAGACGCGGCGGCGCTTCATTTCACGCTGTGGCCACACTGCCTGCAGGTAGCGTGCGATGCTCGGCCGAGGTCTATTCACTCGCATGGGACGTGCACTCCGGTGGCCGCATCTTCGCCTTTAAACCCCCTAAGCTTTTCCTTAAACATGGAGTTGATCTAACACTCCACAGAAAGGCCGCAAGCACAGCCTTCCAACGAGGCTACGTGACGCGTATTGCACCCAATGCAGAGCAAAGCAGGAAGATCACCATCACAAGGCTGTGGTGCAGGCAGATGTCTGGCCGCACCCTTCCACTGTCTCATCCAAAAAAAAGAGATCTCAGCCTGGAAGACAGCATATTATAGCGGAAACGACGAACACACCCCGGAGCTTCAGCTTTAAAACTCAGCTTGGGGGACATGCCTACGTCACCAGTTACTTCGCCAGAAGGAAGGCTAAGTATTGAGTATTGTTTGTACCGTGAGGCTTCGTCTCAATTGATGTCCAGCATGACATCATGCGGCAAGGAAAGTCTCGCCAGTGAGCTCCAGTTTTAAGCAAATCTTCTCCAGTGAGAAGTATCTCTGGCTCGTCAAGCAATAGGCGGGGTGTTAGAGGTGTTTTTTTAAAGAAGAGCACCTTCTGTCCAAATGCATATACACCCAGAGAGGATACCTCCTCCAATGAGGAGCATTCCCATTCGGAACAAATGTACATCTAGTGGATATCTCTTCCAACGAAGGATATTCCAACGAAATACCGGTTGCTTTCCTTTGTCCTCTGAGTGCTTAAACTTGCCTTCGGAGCTGGCAAAGCGTTCCTTCGCAGGCTAATCTGCGTAGCTTGTTCAGCAATTTGCTGAGAACCGTCAGCTTGTGGTTGTTGCCCCAGGTTTTTGTTATCCTTCTGTCTCTGCTCCCTCCACGTGGCAGTTTCTTGCACAATATCTGGGTTCCGGCTGAGCGCCTGTATCTCTGCCGCTGTGTAGCGAGTCGCGCGGACGTCCACGAAAATAGGCGTATGAGAATCGCCGTCCCGGTCCTTCAGCCCGTAGTGCGCGGAGTTCAAGTAGAGGATCCACTCAGAGACGTTGAGTCTGAACTCAGCTTGTCCTACGAGGTGTCACGACCACTGATCTTCTGACATGGAAGGACCCCATTCGAAGCCGGAGCACACGATCGGATCCGGACCAGTGAAGACGTTCCAGTCAGGATAGGAGCAATCATGCCTTGGCTTTCCCAGTGAGTCCTCGTGCTGCTTCAGGATGCAATTGGAGTTCGCACTAGCATGCTGAACTTTCGGGCAACGGTACTCGAGCGCATCAGGAGGGTTTGGGCAGGCCTCAAGCCTTAAGGAAGTAGTAAAGCGCCGCATAGACATCACCAGCCACGAGGTCCACATCGTAGAACGAGCAATACACGAACATCGTCGCCAGAGCTACGCGAGCAAGACCGACCGTCTCTTTGGTCTTTGGCCACGTTGTTAAGATGGAACCCGCATACTCTGATGCGACCCATTCCGGCCCTGGTCATCGTCTATGTGGCCTCTTGGAAATCCTCGCGGTATCCGTTCTGGAACTGTGGCACAGTTCCGCCGCGGCAATCTCAACGATCATGCGCGCGAAAGGCGACCGGGGGAGCGCCTCATCAGTGAAGACCGAACCGCCGAGCTACTTAATCTCGGCGCCAAACTCGTTGGTGTGGCTCGTTGGTGTGGCTCGCCACCATCCAGTCTTTGGCATTGTTCCTGAAGAGGAATCAGTCGCGGTGCTGTGGACATCCTCAAAGTGGAAGACAACCGTGCTGTGGACATCCTCTGAGTGGAAAACAACCAGGTCAGTCGTCGGCCTTGTGTGATAGATCGGAGGCTGTTGGGCACCAATTTGCCTAGTAGTCTGCAGGCTGTTGGTTCACGGACTCAATACACGAACGTTCTGAAAGGGAGTACTTTTGACCAGGATATGCTTCCGCCTGAGCTCGCCGCGCCTGAGGAATGCTTCAGTGTCTTCGAACTTCGGCCACGATGTCGAAGCACTATTCGCTTGATGCCCTGGGGCAACTTCAGTCGTCAAGTCCAACCACTTGTAAGTGCCAAGCAAACTTCTCCAAGATGGGTGTCTTCTTTGCAATGTCACAACTTCATTTCCTAAGACCCCATTAATTAGCCCGTGAGCAATCAAACGAAAACCCATGCGGCCTGTCATCCCCAGACAACGGCCCACAGATGTCACGAAATAGACCGAACGAAACAGCATGTTAACCCTCAACACAACCCCCCGCCTTTGGAAACTCCGAACCGGCGGAGTGCCCTCTTTGGGGGTTTTCATTATCCACCCCCTTCGAAAATATCCAACTGGGGTTGACCCCCAAAGGAACGCGAGCTGCCCTTCCAAGTTACGGACCACCTCCATCTCCGCAAACCTGACGTACAAGTATGTATCCTTCTGCCCTGGGCGGCGGCGAGGAACACCGACAGGCTTGATCTTGATGATCGGAATGATGAAACTTTAAAACCGAAGAAGCCATACTCGGTCTCCCTGTTGAGGATAAGAAACCGCACAGCCATCTCCAACAACTCGGAGTACACGGCACGGCGCCAAGGATGCACTTCGAACTTGCTGCTCATAGTCAAAGTGGCCAGTGGTCTTGTCAACACTAACTTTACACCCCTTCTTCGGCGATGCAATTGCGCAGGCTCACACTGATTGCTCCTTCACATCGACGTGCAAACTGACTCGCCACCCCGCATGAATGTTGGATGCACACGAGCACTGAATCCCGCGGTCTCTCTTTGGAGCCAGGCGTTTTAAAAACTTTTTTGTGCTCCAGCATAAAATGAAAAGGAAGGTGTGAATCAACTTCCTGCAACCAACCCGTGGAACAACAACAAAAAGGGTTCGCGGATTTGCACATTTTTTCGTGAGACAATCGGAAAGACAATACGTCAACAATGTGTTTCTGCCGAACTCACACTCCGACCAGCCTGCACGTGCCAAGGGTCCATCTGTCTGCACGCCTCTTCGCCAGCACACTCGTCGGTCGACTGGTTTCGCCTCGGGGCCTCTTGCTTGCGTTTGGTGAATAGGCATGGGAATGCCGCCTCCCCCTTTTTCCCCTGCCCAAGATGTAACCTGGGCGTGCTACAGGCCTCGAAGCACAGCAGGTGCATTCTTCCTCTACAGGCTCACAGCTGTAGTCAGTATGCTGCTACAACCTTCAGCAGCAAGCATGGAAATGTGCATGTGACACGTGACACAGACGGCACCTGCATGTGTAACATTCAGTACGACACCCAGGCAGAAATTCATACTCACGTGAACATCATGACGACTGACAGCGCGACGTCGTGAAGCTTGACAAAACACCTTGCTAAGTTCAACCCAACAATACCATTTTGTGCAGATGTTGCAGCTGACGGATGCAAGACGCAGGAGAAGCCAAGGAGCAAGGCTAAGGAAGCACGTGAAGGACTTGTTTCGACGCTGCAAGAGCTTGCCTTGACTCTGCAAAAACCTTGAGTCGTTGAGGGCTAGGAACGGCTAGTATGCAGGAGTGCCATGACTGAGGACACCCAAGAGTCGGAGACTTCGGTGACCCTCCTGTCCCAATCAGACTCACGACAACCAGGATAGGAAGGACGGCAAGACATGGTAAGCTGGACATGGCCGGTCACGGTATGACTGGCAACTCTGCAGAATGGCTTGCACATCGAAGGTGCTGCATTCCAGCCACTGCGAACAGAGATGTTCAACGGAAAGGTCTCATATGGTCTCATGCAACAGGCAACACTGCCAACAAGCATCCCTTAAGATTGAAGTACCACACAGGGATTGAAGCGCACGGCCTTCACAATACATCAACATCAAGTACAGCACTAACAACGTCTCGCATGCAATGGCCTGCAGCTCAAACGCCACTAGAGGCTCTGTGATGCTGCCTTCGTCGTGCCTGTCATGTTGCACAGACTGTCTGGCAACTGGCTCTGAACCTCTACCACAGAAATCGTGCCTCGAGCGGATCTCGCTGCAAGTCTCGGCAAATCGCAGGCATCGCCTTGGACTAGCGTTGGTCTAGGAAACGTCTTCTGCCCGGAAAAAAGTAGGACCACCACATTCGCAGCGGGGAAATGTCGAGCAGAATGGCCTTCAGTCCAGACCGCAGCACTGGCATACGAAAGCCAATTACTAGCGGAAGGGTACTTAAGGCTGAAACTGTGGACAGTATCTGCTCGAACGTCTGTGCAGTAAGCCTCCGGTGCCGCATTAGGATGAAGCTGAGAGTGAGTCGTGTCTGACAAGTGTTCCTTCGCGACATGTCATGTCCACACCGATGCAAAGATGCCCAAGATCTTAAACTTTCAAAAGTCACGGACCCCCTGGACTGCCGGCCCTTTTGGAAAGCTTGCGATGAGAGGCTGCCTTACTTATGCAGCAAACTACTATACACCGCCGCCACCTTGGGGTGCTGAACGACGATGGTAACGGCCATGGCAATGATGACAATGATGATAAAGGTGACAACGGCGATGAAGATGATGGTGGCGATACTGATGCTGACGATTGTGATGACTATGACGATGATGACGGCAACGATGATGATGATGACGACAATGATGACGATGATGATGATGATGCCAATGATGATGGCGATGAGGATGAATATGACGATGACGACGATGACGATGATGACGATGATGATGATGATGATGATGATGGCGTTGATGATGATGATGATGATGATTATGATGATGATGATGACGTTGATGATGATGATCACGATGATGATGATGATGATGATGATGATGATGTCGACGACGATAATGATGATGATGATGATGATGATGATTATCATCGTGATGGTGATGAGACGATGGTGATGATGATGCTGATGATGATGGTGATGATGATGATGACGATGATGATGATGCTGATGATGGT